CATTAAGTAGGGAGGCGTTTCCGCCCCCCCCCCCAAAGAGAAACATGAAGTGGGGAGAAACCTGAAGTGGAAATAGGTTGGGCTTCCGCCCATCCCCCTGCAAGAGGACGGAAAAAAGGCGAGGCCACTCGAGCACTGAGGTAGGGAGGCGCCGAAAACTGGCTGGCATCTGAGAACCCAAAATTGAGCAGGGACCGACCGTCCCGGCATTCCTATAATTAGTCCTCCCACGAAATGTTCTCAGAGCCCAAAAATGTTCTAAGAACAAGAACAGTGTTCTTAGAACATAAGCCCGATGTGATGAACCAAGACAGTCCCAGCCAGAACTGTTCCAAGAACATTCCGTGGAAACCACAAAAGGTTCTTAGAACATTGTTCGGTAGGGCTATAGGGGAGCCAGGACGCTTCGCCACTGCTTGACGAGCAGGGGCAGGGCTCGCAAGTTTTGGACGCCCGAAATGGGTACGGAAAGAATGGGTACAATGCCAAGCAACAAATGTGGTCCCAAACCGACAGCGGCCGCTGTGGGGCAGGCGGCCCTCTGCCTCAAGTGGACACAGGCCGCGGCTGCGCGGACAGCGAGTCCTGCGCAAAATGGACAGGAACTGCTGTTGAGCACTGTACCCATTCTTTCTGTACCCATTTCGTGCGTGCAGACAAATGTAAAACAGGGCTAGCATCGGGACAAATCGCTCCAGAGCGCCCCGGAGCGCTCTCGGAGCGTTGCGGAACGCTCTGGAGCGGCCGCGGCGCCCAACACGTCCTCCGAACCCGCCGACTCTCAGAGATTTCGCCGTTACCCCGATCCGACTTTGTCCCGATCTTCGCGTCGTTCTAACACGTGCATGACTGTGGGGCGCGGCGATCCGCAGCCCGCGTGCAGCGCGGCAGGTGCTGCGCGCGCACGATATGCGCGGCCGCGATCCGATCTTGTCCCGACCTTCGCGTCGTTCTACCAAATGGGCCCCCGAGTGGGGCCCCCGGGGGCCGGCCGCCGACGGCGGGGCGGGGCTTGCGGGCGAGCGGCGGCCGGCCGGCGGCGGGGCCCCTGTCCGCCGTCGTGGTCGTCGTCGTCGCCGCGGCCGCCGTGGCCGTCGCGGCCGCCGCCGCCGCCGCCGCCGCCGCCGTCGTCGTCGTCGTCGTCGCCGTCGTCGTCGTCGTCGCCGTCGTCGTCGTCGTCGCCGTCGCCGTCGTCGTCGTCGTCGTCGTCGTCGCCGTCGTCGTCGTCGTCGTCGTCGCGCTCGCCCTTCCCCACGTCGGGGCCGCGGGGCGAGCCGTCTCCTTGCTGGGCGCGCTGCGGCGGCGTCGCCGAGTGGCCCCAGAAGGCCGGGAGGACCCCGTGGGCCAAGGAAGGCGGGACCAGCAACGAAGACTTGGCATGAAGGAAGCGGGTCCTGCGGTAAACTGGTCCTGGACCCCAAGGCCTTCCCTGCGGACAAAAGCTGCATCCCGACTCGTCTTCTGGCGGTCCCAGGAAGGGCCAAGCGAGCTCGTCAACGGCATAAAAACTCAGGACCTGTTTCTCTCAGGACCCGTGTGCTTCATGGCGAAAGACGCCCGCCGCAGAAACGACTCGAGATGAAACGTCTCTGGCATCACGCCTGCAGACAAGCCAAGAGAGCAGCAAAAAAAGCAGGCGCATGAAACGAGCGTGGGCAGACAGCTGTAGACACAAAAGCTGGCGTTGGTGCCAGCGGCGTTGGCGCTGGCACTGGTGTCACGATCAGCTCCACGCTCGGCAACTCGGCGACTTCGACGTGGTACGCCGCGTCGGCGACCGATGCGATGGCGTCCGACAGCGCGGTGCTCAGGCTGTCCTCGTCCGCCGAAGAGAGCGAGTCCGCCACGTCGTAAGCGTCGATCGATTGCGAAGCCTCTGACGGGATGATGATTTCGAACTGAACCTGGACGGAGAAGCCGGAGAGCTGGCGGCTGGCGGTGCTGAGACGCCTTGACGTTACGAGCGACAGGGTCGCCTCGACCATGCCCACGTTATCCTTGCCGAGGCCGCTACTAACTGCGAGACCCTTCTCCACGCCCACCTTCACCTGCGGATCGGCCACCGCTGCCTCGTTGTCGCCGAAGTTCAGCATCATACTGCCTGCAATCGTGCACGGCGGCTGGGAAACAGTAGCAGTCGATTGCGCTGAAGTTGGCCCCGGCGTCGGCGCCTGTGTTGGCCCTGGAGCTGGAGTGGGTGCTGGGCTGGGTGTTGGCGCCAACGTGAGCTGCGGAGCAGGCGCCGGCACAGACGTCGGCTGCAGACTGGGCGCTGGCGTTGGCACCGCGGTTGGCGCTGGTGTTGGCGCCAGCGTGGGCACAGCCGCGGAGGGCGTCGGAGGGGGAGCCGGTGCTGGGGCCGTGGCCTTGAACCACGCCACCATCACTTGAACGGCCTCGAAGATCTCCGTGCACGCTGGGAGGATCTCAGATGTGTCAGGCTGGAAACCAGCACTGCCCTGCCAACCAGCAGGTGGTAGCTCAATCGTGTATCCATAAGCACCTAAGTCGGTAGAAAAATCTGGCGCAACGCCAGAACAGAGGTAGAGCGATCCACCCGCGTCGCCGGTGCCGTAGATGTAGTCTTGGCCATTGACGCTCTTTATAGCAGTATACATCGCCATTCCAATTGCGTCGATCGTGGTCTTGTCAGGGTGATCAGCGTTCGTATAGGCCCAGGGTCCCAGAATCATCGCTCCGTGAGAGTGGATGTCCAGGTGCAACTTCACAGGGGCCTCGGTCAGTAAAGCCGCGAGTGCTTGCGTCTCAGGCTCCGACATCGAAGAAGCACCCACGTAGAGGTCGCTGCACGGGTACGTCGACGTCGTCTGAACACCGCTCCAATCCTTAGCCCAGTTGCGGTTGAGGTCAACACCTTTACACGAATATCCTGCGTTCGTAGCTCTGTTCTTCCGCCACATCGCATTGGAAGTTTGAGAAAAAACGAGTCCGTCGGGATTCGAGATGGGCACGATGACGAGCTCCATCCCAGCCAACCAGCTTGGATCGTTCCGCTGCCTGTCTACGCTGTACTCCGCCAAGTACGTCCCAACCATCGACGCCATCCACTCGCGGGCGTGCAGCAGGCAATTGATAACGATCCTTGGTGCTCCGGCAGTCCACGCAGAACCACGGATGCGTACTGCTTTGATGCTACGGCCCTCGTGGGTCGCTGGCTCGAGATCCTCCAGCACGGCCACGCCAGGCGCAGCGTCCACGACATCTTGGAGCCTGGCGACCAAGTCATCGTAGTCACGCCATTGGGTGTAGAAGTCGGTCCTCGAGGAGCGACGGTCCCAAGCTTGTGGGTAGCCAGCGCCTCGCAAGTACGCTCCAGCGTCGTCGTTAAACGCCGTGGCTTCGCCATGCTTGAATGGGAACAGTTTGGGGCAGATGACGGCCATCACGGAGCACGCATCAGTTTTGCTGACGGTCTCCACGGGCGTGCACTCGTAATCTTCGATCTCCCTCATCAGAAGCTCCTCCTCATTTCGCCCACAAGCTTCAACCAGCAAAATCGATGAATTGTCGAACATCCTGTACGGATCGTGGGCACGCGAGGGCGTGCGTGGAGGCAACGACTCGCCGAGCCGTGCTATTCCTATGCACATGAGCGCAGCGGGCGTGGACACCCATCCTGCCCAGCGGACAACTCTCATGGAGCTCCCGGGTGCAGAGGCCGCCCAACTCCAGGCGCAAGCGACCCGCCATCACGACATTGCAGGACAGGCCCGCGCAACAGAAAAGATGGGGCCGACGCTCGAGCCAAAGCGAATTCGGGCTGAGAGATCCTGAGCCTCGATGAAGGGGCCCTGGGACACACAAATAAACACACAGAAACGGAAAGATTCCCCATGTTTCCCAACCTAGGCTCTGCCTAGAAGGGTTCTTACCCTCTAGCTTGAAGGGGCCGGGCAGTGTAAACCGCCCCGGGCGGTTCCCCCGGCATCCGCCCCGCGGCTCCCCCAGTTACGTCCCCTTAGCTTAGCGTTGCTTATCTCATCTTAGCTTAGCTTATTTCATCTTAGCTTAGCTTAGCTTCATCTTAGCTCAGGTGTATCTTAGCTTAGCTTACCTTCATCTTAGCTCCGCTGAGCTTTAGCAAAGCAGAGCACAGCAGAGCATAGCGTAGCGTAGCATAGCATAGCGCAGCACAGCATATCATAGCATAGCCCAGCATAGCATAGCATAGCGCAGCATAGCATAGCATAGCATAGCGCAGCACGGCACAGCACAGCATAGCACAGCGCAGCATAGCATAGCATAGCGCCGCAAAGCATAGCATAGCACAGCAGCAAAGCAAAGGCACAGCAACAGCAGCGACAGCAAAGCAAAGCACAAGCAACGCAAAGCAAAGCAAAGCAAAGGCAAACGTTCAAAAGCAAGGCAAAGGAAAGGCAAAGGAAAAGAAATGTGCGACAGATGCCAAGCTGGCCTCATAGCTTAGCATAGCACAGCGCAGCATGGCATAGCATAATTTAGCATAGCATCGCATAGCAGAGCAGAGCGTAGCATAGCATAGCGCAGCATAGCATAGCATAGCATAGCATAGCGCAGCATAGCATGGCATAGCATGGCATAGCGTAGCATAGCATGGCAACTAACGTTGCTTTCCTAAGGGCTCCAACTTCTAGGTAGGGTCGCACTGGGGTAATTTCCTATATTTTCTGGGTTTTGTCTTCCCCCCCACTTCCCATAGTTTCCCACATTTTCTCGGGAATCGCCGATTCATTGTGTCTGTGTTTTTCCCCCCTCCTGACTCGAGAACTCCAGGTGCTGACCGAGTGGAGGGTGGCCCCCATTGTGGCTTTCGCCTGAGGCCGAAGTGCGTCTTGAAGCCACCAACCTTCAAGCTTCAGACTGCCGCAGTGATGGAGGGCGGCTCCTTTTCAAGATCGTGTTCTCACCACACTGCTGCGCGCACATATATGAAAGGCGGTTCGACATGGAGGCCCCCGAAAAGCCTGGATCCAAGCAGTGAATATATTTTGGAGGGCAAAGTTAACTTCCGCCAGCCGCTACCGGTTTCCACTCCGAGCCGCCCTCGTTCAGCTTCCGCCGCCTTCCACCGGCCTTTCACTGCCTTCCACCCGGGAAGAGATTTCAAATAGTTCGACCCCTCGAAGACGAAGCCTTTTCTGGAACTGTCCACATAACCCGCTGACGCGGCCAGATCTGGATATCTTCGCAAGGGGTTAGATAGGATCGCGCACGGAACTAACGCGGAGAAAAAGCGGGGACAATACGATGGCCAGGGGGCGATGCGGGGGCAGGTGGCGAAGGAATGAAGAGACTCTGAGAGCACTAAGTGTGTGTGTGTGTGTGCGTGTGTGGATATGGAGTGGACCATTGAAACCCACTGCCAGCCAATGTGGGGTTTTGGCAGCGAGGGGGAAGGCAAGTCCCGATAAGCACAGTCCCCACGCGGGACCTGCGCAGAGACGTTTTCCCCCCACGTGCACCTATGGAGGAAAACGCATATGGGAGAACACTCGCACCTTACATGTGATGCGGGAGTCCTCCTTCAGGCTGCCGTTCAAAAAAGGGCCGCAGCGCGATGCGCCACGCTGCATACTGCAAGGCCCCAGCCGGCAACCGGCCCAACACCAAACAAAGCCGCTGCGTGGTCAATTCATGGCGCCGTGGGGCACGATGCCCCAGGACAGAAGTATCCGGAATGTGCCATGGGATACCGGTCCGCGCGTCGCACAACGTATTCCGCACGTGGTTCGAGCACATTGTATACAATGTGCTCGAACCAATACAATTGTATACACCCGCCCAGCTTCGTCATACAATTGTATGACGAAGCTGGGCGGGTGGACCCAAGGAGAATTTCGCCAAGGCTCGAGCCAGCGGCTACGGACAGCAACGACGACGGCGACGATGACAGTGGACTGCGCTCGACCCCTTCTTCCAAGACAAAGCCCGTCCGCGACCAGTACGTTCCGGGAACACTCCGCCAGAACGTTCTGAGAACATTCGTGCTTCAAACACCAACGGCCACTGCCCTCCCCCTCTCTCCGTCCATACTCACGGGGGCATGGCACATGCTGCCGAATGTGAAAAGTAAGGGGCCCCCGGGGTGGGCACTTTTATGTACACGCTTGGGTGGGCACTTTTGTGCAAAGTCTCCGCTTGAGCCCATGGGGGCGGCGGGGGGGTCATTTTGTTACCCCTGTCCCGGCCGCGTGGTCGATAGTCGGCCTGTCGATGAAAGCACGCGCTGCGAGGCGGGGCAGGATCTGTCCGCCGCGCACGTGCCACAAACCGGAACCCGCCCGACGCTGGTGCTTCGCCCCCCGACCGGTGAGGACGCAGGAAGAGTGAGAATTGAAGAGAGAGAGAGAGAGAACAAAAAAAAAAAAAAAAGTGAAGAGAGAATAGGGGGGGTAGAACGAGTAGTAAGACGAAGGAGGGGAGGGGACCTGCTCACCGCCCGTCTGCGTGGAAGTTGTCGCCGCCGCCCCTTCTCGGAGCCGCCGTCGTTGTCGTTGTCGTCGTCCGCTCGGACTCGCTCTCACACCCAGACGCTCACGGCCACGCATTCACAGCCGGACGTGCCAGCCAACGAGATGCACATGCGGGGACCTCCGCGTGGAGCACCCTGCGAACCCAGGACGTCAGGGAAGGAGTGCGGCAGATTCGTGTCGTGACGACCTGGGCGTTAGCTCCTGACACCGCCGGAATCCTTCAACCTGGAACGATCGGCCGTTTCTGTAGCGTCAGATCGTTCAACATCGACCGACTCTGGGTCGCCGGCATCGTTCAACATCGAACGCTGGCAGCGGGGTCGCCCCCGGTCGACACCACGCGAGCCTGCCGCAGGGCGAAGAGAAGCTGCACCGGGCTTGGGTCGGGCACGTCCTCCTACAGGCGGACATTGGCAGAAGACTGAGAGGGGATCAAACTATGATGAAAAACAGCCCAGAGAGCGCGGCACATCGTCCCCAGACGATTCGGCGGTGGACAAACCTCCCTTTGGTAAACCTCCCCTTAGTGAAAACGGCCTGGAATCGAAACCAACGGGCCTGGACCCGCAAACAACGACGGCCGCGACGCCCTCTCGCGAACCGAAAACGGCCAGTTCCTTAATCGACGCGTCAGGGAAGGAGGTCTGTCCAACCCCGACTCTTCTTTCTGACTGGTATTGATATTCCCCGGCGCACGTGCATTCTGCATAGTCTTCTGCACATTTTCTGGCCTTCGTTTTCCATGCCAATGTGTGCCGATGCGGCGTCTAGGCGCGGCTTCTTCTGTTCTGTTCTGTTCTGTTCAGAGACCCCTGCCCGACTTGGCCGTCGGGGGCAATGAGCAGCCGCACCTGGGGCCCCGCTCCCTCGCAGGGCGGCGAGCACCCTGCGCCGCCCCGCTGCCCCCGCGACACGTGTGCGGGAGCCACGGCGGGCCGCCCTCTTTTTCGAGCGCGCGCCTGCCTCCTCCTCCATCTCCTCCTCCTCCTCCTCCTCCTCCTCCTCCTCCTCCTCCTCCTCCTTCTGC